TATATGGTGTGCCGAAACAGTCACTTATCTCGTTCATAGCTCCCGGGGCTCTAATAATGGTCGCCTATTTCGCCACAACTGTTATGACATGTCATCTGTTGATTAAAGAGAGAAGCGATGGTTTAGTGGAGAGAAGTCTTGTGGCGGGAGTCACACCATTTGAATTCATATTATCGCACATTATATTACAGACCCTATTGTTGGCCATTCAGGTCGGCCTCAAACTGATGGTCGCGTTCCTTGTCTTCTCGATACCCAACAGCGGATCCATTGTTTCGGCGGTTACTCTGACTTTTCTTCAGGGACTCTGCGGTCTAATGTTTGGTCTAATGATATCCGCCGTCTGTCACGACGAGATATATGCAAACACTTTAGGTTTTGTTCGCATAATTTGCTAATCTTATTGAGTATTAAGTGTTTAAATGTTTTTGTATACAGGAATCGGTGCCTTCTTTCCCAGTGTTATGATTGGAGGAATATTCTGGCCGTTGGAGAGTATGCCGACTGCCCTCCGATACATCAGTCAAACGCTGCCCTCAACTCTAGCCATCGAGACTTTGCGCTGTATTTTATTGAGAGGTTGGGGTCTCGACAGGAGTCAAGTGTTGATCGGTTTCACAATCACTATATTATGGCTTTTATTCTTTTTGATTAATTCAATCATTTTCTTCAAACGAAAACTTTAATTACTTTTTTCATGAGTTTTATAAAACATTGTTTATCCACATATTATTTGTCTATTTATTGGATGTATTACTAAATTTATTTTTAAATTAAATAAATCATTTCATTATAAAACAGATTTTAAACTATTAATATATTAAATATTTGCACGTATTTCGCAGTTTTATCAATACTTTTCATACTTATAGTGTTGTAATCAAAGCCATAACAATAATTATTATTGATAATTTTCATGATTGTTTTAATAGTCATTTAATTCTTTAATTTCTATTTAAAGATATTTATAAAATGTTTAGTAAAAAACAAAATTCTTTAAGACATAGAGTTTGGATCTTTAGGATATCTGAGTTGACCTTAACTTTCTATAAATCCTTAAAATATAATAATATTAATATAATTATCATTTGATTAATTTATTAAGACTTATTTGATTATCAAATTTTGATAACATTATTACGAGTAATCCTTTTGAGAGTTTTGTTTTTTCCAAAACACATTATATAAAGAATTCAGATATTTGTATAAATTCAATATCCTTTTGGTTGTGGAAAAAGTTACAAAAATGAATACTTATATTAAAATTATTAATTTTCTAATTATATTTACAATAAGTATATCTAAATCACAAGGAGTTCAAGTAATTTACAATAAATTTGCTAAACTTATTATTTGATTAATTTTTATCAATTATTTCTTTATATCGAAAGCCTTTACCAAAATTTAATGTCGATATCAACGAGACATCGGTATCGGGTCTGTCTTCGGGCGGTTTCTTTGCCGTCCAAATGCAGATCGCCTTCTCGTCCATCATTAGAGGCGCCGGTATTATAGCGGGCGGTCCTTACGATTGCGGCGGAGAGACAGGTCTGGCGTTTTGCATGTATATGAGCTCACCGTTGGTCTCACTCGCCATCGAGAGGACCAATCTATGGAGCGGTCACTCCATTGACGACAAATCAAATCTCTCGCATCAGAAAGTGTTTATGATTTCTGGCACTAAAGACATGACAGTCTCGACGTCTGTCATGAATCAGTTGTACAAATACTATGCGACCGAAAGTCAATACATTCCGGCGAATAATATCGAGTATAAAAAGGATTTGGTTTCCGGCCATACGT